TGCCTCCATCTCTGGTGTCACTGCTTCTCTGGATAAGGACCCACATTATACTCATGTTCTTCTTCCTTGATGGTCCTAGGGTCCTCTGTTCCTGGACTGTAAGATTAACTACTCCCCTCTTTTTGTTATAAAACTTCTACCTTTAAACAAACAAATAAACAAAAAACCTCTACCTTTACAATTGTGACAGTGGCAATTAGTCATGATAACAATTACTCACTGTTGAATCATAAGAACCTTATCTGCATCTCCTATCACCATACCTGTCTAGAAAAGATGAAAACTATTTAGTGGGGATGTTACCATCCCCCACACACTCTGATACTAAACTCCCTTTTGAAAACTTGTAAGCCAGTTACTTCGTGCCTTTATAGTGCCCCAACCCCCAATCTTAAGTAGCCAATGTCTAAGTTGCCTGTCCCTATCATCATATATACTATTCTACATCATCAACTCACAGCACCCCCGTGTGACAGAGTAGAATTGCCCAAGAGGTTTCCTAGGCTGTCATCTATTGTGTCACTATATACTCATATATACTCTTATAGATCATCCACTCACAGCGACCCCTGGTGTAACAGAGGAGAACTGCCCCACAGGGTTTCCTAGGCTGTCATCTACTGTGTCACTATATACTCATATATACTCTTATATATCATCCACTCACAGCGACCCCTGGTATAACGGAGGAGAACTGCCCTACAGGGTCTCCTAGGCTATATTCTTAATAAGGGCCAATTGCCAGGTCTTTTTTCCACAGAGCTGCTGCGAGGTGGGGTTAATCGCTTAGGTTACTGTATTTCCTTTATTTTCCAGTGGTCCCTCCAGTTCACTAGACTCTTTTCCTAGATATTTAGTTCTTCCTCTTCTTTCGCCTCCTTCTGAACAAGAACAGGTTTAAAGCAAGCAGAACTATTTTTATTGGGTATACATGTGTTTCTGTAGGGAGTCCTGGTGGCACAGTGGGCTAAGCATCAGGCTGCAAACCTACAGCTGCTCCATAGGAGAAAGATGGGGCTTCTGTAAATATTTAGTCTTGGCAACTCTATGGGGGTAGTTCTAGCTCATACTTCAGGGTCACTGTGAGTCAGAATGTGGCAGTCAGCTGTAAAGATGACAGTTTAGGAAATCCGATGGGACAGTTCTACTCTGTTCTACAGCATTACTGTGACTCGCAGCCAACTCAATAACTGTGGGTATCTTTTTATAAGAGGGTTGTCTATGCATGCATTTCTGGAGTCCTGGTGTGGTGCTGTAGGATAAGCACTTGACTGCAAGGTCAGCTTGAACCTTAAGGGTGGCAGTTCAAACTGACCAGCCGCTCCTTGGAAATCCTACATAGGGTCACTGAGTTGGAACCAACTCAATGGTACTTAACAGCAACAAGAAGACATGTATTTCTAGTTGAGAAATGGAAACAGAAAATAATCTTATAAATGAGAGTTAACAAGAGAAAAAGCACCACATGGTCAATGCTTTCAGTTCTTACCAAATGTGGAAACTCACGGGAACCCTAACATGTCAGCTGATTTCACCACTCAGACATCTGGGGAAATGCACAACATGTTGATTTACATGCTGGCTTCATGCTGCATTCCTAGACAATCTTTTTGTATTTACGTGCAGACTACACCCCTAATTCCCAGCACTCTTCACAGGCCAACCCCAGGGGCTGGGGGCGGGAGGAAGGGGGCTGCAGGGGAAGGTTAGAAAGAAACCCCTCGTCAAAGAAATGCTGACAGGAGGCTCTGAAACACGTCCGGACTAATAAAGCTGGAAATTAGATTAAGGAGCAATGATTTAAGCTTTGCTGCATTTCACAAAAGATTGACAACAATTTACAGGAAATAGGAACGTCACACAGGCAGCATTGGACCTGGGGTTGCCATGGTAACAAGCTTCTTCTTTTTTAAAAAATATGTTTCTCTTCCATTGTTGTCCAGATGAGTGCTTAAAATCCAACACGTCGACTCTGAATGCCTAGTGGTGAAGGGTACAGTGGTGTCTGCACCGAGTGGTCCTTCCTTCCAAGGGACTCTCATTTTCCTAAAGCAATCTTCTGCCTTTTCTAGAAGTCAGAATGAAAACACATCAAATGAAGAGCAGTGTTTGACACCAGGGTTAGGTTTGCACTGAGCTCAGATAAACACACTTCCCAAACGACAAAAGAACACGGAGTAAGATCTGCAAAAGATGGATCCTGGGGGAGGCGGAAACCTCCAAGAGTAGGAAGATGGAATTTTTTCCCACTAAAATGAGCAAAAGGAAAATGATAAGATGGCACCCTGTCAACAGCGGAATGCTCCCAAGACCCCAAAAAACAAAGCTCTCACAGGTCCCACTGTCGGAATGACAAGTGCCAATCTCTACTGTTTCATTTTCTCTTCCTTTTTAAAAGATAACAGTAAGGTGTTCATGGTAGATGAGGGGAAAATAAGTTTAGTCAAATGTATTTCGGTTTACTAACTAGACAAAATGAACCTACTTTCCCCTCAACTATGCCATTCAGCTATGATCCTTGACTATTCTTTTGTCCTACAATGGGTCACTAAATCTCAAGTTTACTATTTATTTCAAAACATGCCCCTACCATCATCTCTGGACACATTTAAACCACAGTGAATTCTCCATCATTATCAACGAATGTGAGCAGGGACATGGAGCCATCCTCTCCCCGTTTTGTATACATTCTTGTTACTAAATGCTGTTGAGTAATTCCAACTCACAGCCACCTACTCTAGGGTTTCCAAAGAGCAGCTGGTGGATTTGAACTGCTGACTTTGTAGTTAATGCAGTCCAGTGCGGATCCTACAACACCACACCAGGACTCCAGTTAATGTCCTTCTTGTTGTTAAGTGTTGTCATGTTGGTTCTGACTCATGGAAACTCTGTATTGGATTTCCAAGGAGTGGCTGGTGGGTTTGAACTGCTGACTTTGCAGTTAGCAGTCCAGTGTGGACTTTACAGTGCTGCACTTGGACTCAGCTTTACCCTTTGTCTGACTGAACATTACTTTATTGAGCTTCACAGATAGTGAAAAAAAAATTTTTTTTCTTTTGTACAAATTTTGTGTCAAGCAAGTCCATTGGCTTTTTTCCAACAGCGTGCGCTGACTTTGTGGCTGTGTCTCATTTTGGTCATTCTCACAGGATTCCAAACTTTTCCATAATGTTATTGCGCTCCTGGAGTCCTGCAGTGGCACTGTAGGATACGTGCAGGACCACAGGTCGGTTTGAACCACCGGGTTTGCGGTTCAGACTCACCAGTCGCTCTCTGGCACATAACCATACTGTAGTTTAGTAAGTGTGCAATGTTGTTGTTTAAGTTCTGTCGAGTCGGTTTGAACTAATAGCAACCCAATATAGGGTTTCCAAGCCTGTCAACCTTTATGAGAGCATAAAGCCTCATCTTTTCCCCATGGAACCACTGGTAGTCTCAACTGCTGACCTTGAGATTAGCAGCCCGACTCGCAACCACTACGCTACCAGAGCTCCAGTATAGACAAATTTATATGACCTGGAAAATCAAAAAATTCGTCTCTTGTTTTATTGTGATACTTATTTTATTGCCATAGTCTGGAACCGACCCACAGTATCTCCAAGATATGGTTATAAGGAGCCCTGGTCGCCCAGGAGGTTGGTGGTTTGAACCCACCAGCCCCCACCCATGGGAGAAAGATGAAGTTGTCTGCTTCTGTCAAGGTTTAGTCTCTGGAGCTAGCAGCCCCACCCTGGCCTCTAGGGTCACTGCATCGGGATTGAGGCAACAGCACTGAGCATTGACTACACCTTTCTACGCCACTGGCATTCCCAGAATTCCTGTGATCTTTCCGGCTTTCCAGCGAGCTGAAAAATTAACAGCCTCTCTTAACAGATGGTCCCACCTCACTGTGAACCAACAGATCCTGCTTCCAAGTCAGGGAAAGGTGGATCTCATTGGGAGCTGTTCCTCTCTCCTAATGGAATCAGACCGAGGTCTGGATGGGGAGGAGACGTCAGGAAGAACAAGGGTTAGTCAAAAAGTATTGCTACTAGCATTCTAGTTCATACACAGGTTTACTCCAGTGGATGGCTGCAGACACGTTCTCTCAGTAACATGCTTGTCTTAAGTCTCATTCATGTTCCTTCAAAACATAGATGTACATAGGACCCCCGGAAGAACACACCAATCTGTTTTGGGAGAAGTGCAGCCAGAGTGCTTGACAGATTTTCTGGAAGGGCACAAGACAATTACGGTTTTATTACAAAGTTTTCTGGAAATGGGTAAATGCAATGGTGAGAAAGGTTGTTTCCATCAGGACAATGCACCTGCTCATTCTGAGTAAGCAAGGACTGTCTTATGAGAATTCCATTGGGAAACCTGGCTCCATCCACCCTGTAGCCCTGATCTTGCCCCTTCAAATTAATTTTGGTTCCCCAAACTCAAAGAACATTGGGAAGGAACACGATTTGAGTCCCCTGAGGATGCCCAAACTGCCTTTTGGGCGTGGTGTACATTGAAGAGCTCAGAATTCTCCGAGGCAGGGTCAGAGACAGCACTTTCCAAAGTGTGGAGACCCAGACGGAGGAGATGTCGAGAAACAGTAGCTTCACAGTTGGATATTTTTCATAGCGATTTCTATGATTTTGTAGCAATACTTCTTGATGGACTCTGATATAAAGGGCTTATCACCCAAGGGAACCCTCAGACCCACACACCCGAGATCCACTGTGGAGAAATGAGCTCATTGGCACCTGGGAGATCCAATCTCCTGGGACTGCTTTGTCTTTCAGGGTGTTGTCTTACCTGGTTCCTACTGCTCCTGAACCCTACCTCAGGAACATCACTTCTCTCACAGCGCCCCTCCTTACCCCAGGTTCCTGCTCTTGCCACAGTCCCAGTGTGGTGCTGTGGGTTAGTGTGGTGGATGGCAAACTCGGTTTGAACCACAGGTCTGCGGTTCAAGCTCACCAGCCGCTCCTTGGTCCCCGTTAGACCCACAGATTTCCCGTTCCTGTTCTTTATTTTAGAAGCCAGTTGGGGGAGGCCTTCTTGGGGAGCCATGTGTTCACATCTACCTTGACTGCCGCTCTCCATTGGAGATAGAGCGTCCTCAGGGTCTGCCAGTCCAGGGGAACCACGAGGTCAGCAGGCAACAAAGATCCTATGAACACAACAGGGAACAAGCGTCAGCTTTGATGCCAGACTGCTGGTTTTCACCCTAAACGTGAAGCTCTGTAAATATGGTATGTGGGCTGCTATAATGTTAACAGCCTCATTGCTTCAAAACAACCTTTATTATTATTGTTATTGTATGAAAACATACCCAACAGAACATACACCAATTCAAAAGTTTCTACAAGTGCAAGTTACTGACAATATAGTCCTCAAATTGTGCAACCCTCTTCGAGCTCCTATTCCAAACTGTTCCCCCCTGCCAGGAACTGGGCTCATCACTGCCCCTAGGTTCCCCCCCAGGAACATGAGCTCACCGCTGCCCCCAAGTTTGCTGCTGTACTTTTCTACTTGTTGTCAATGTGACCCCGTATATATAGCTCTTAAAAGAACAGAATGCTCAAGGCAGACATTCGTCACTAATTAAGCTAAACTATGAATAAGGAAGACCATAGAAGAATTGATGCATTTGAGTTATGGTGCTGGAGGAGAATATTGAAAGTGCCATGGACTGCCAAAAGAACCAATAGATCCTTGTTGGAAGAAGTGCAACCAGAGTGCTCCTTAGAGGCCAGAATGGCCAGACTTGGTCTCTCATACTTTGGACATATTGTCAGGAAGGACCAGTCGCTGGAGAAGGATATCATGTTTGGTAAGGTGGAGGGTCAGAGAAAAAGAGGAAGACTCCCAACGAGATGGATTGGCCAAGTGGCAGCATCAATGGGTTCAAGCGTGGCAACAATAGTGAGGTTGGCCCAGGACCGGGCAGTGTTTCATTCTGCTGTGCATAAGGTCGCTATGGGTCGGTACCGACTCGATGGCACCTAACAACAACGTTTGGTTTAAAGAGCTCTGCTAGCATAGTGGTTGGGCTGCTAACCTCAAGATCAGCAGTTTGAAACTACCAGCTGTTCCGCGGGAGAACTCTTTCTGTTTCTGTATAGATTTACAGCCTCGGAAACCCTATGCAGGGTCACTATAAGTCAGAACTGACTCCGTGGCACATAATCACCACCACCACCATGTTTGGTTTGGACTCCTGGTATAGTGCTGTAGGATCAGCACTGGACTACGAACCACAAGGTTGGCAATTCAAACCCACCAGCTGTTCCTCAGAAACTCTATGCCCAGTCGCTATGAGTCGGAACTGACTTGACAACACTTAACAACAAGCTTTGGTTTAATGTGAAGCTTTCTGCTCCCACAAAGATTTAAAAGCCTCGGAAACACTTTATTGGGTCACTGTGAGTCGTAACCAACTCGACAATACTTAACAACAAAAAACAACATGTTTGGTTTAAAGAAGACTTGAGGGGATATCTTTGGTTTAAGGATTAAGTTTAAAGATAATCTCAGGGCACTATTTTGGGGAGTTCATTCAGTTTCAGTGGTACCAGAAACTCCCGATTTCGTAAAAACTTTAATTCTGTTTCACAGTGCCTTCCCCCTTTGACTAGGATTCTCCTACAGAATCTGTGAGGGAAACGTTCAGTCATGGTGGTGAGCCATACTCTGGATTTAAAGACATTTCAGGGATTGTCCTTGTCATTTCTATTTCCTATGTACCAGTGTTTTGTTTCATGTTGGTTTGTTTTTTCCATTTAGAAGGTCAGCTACTGGGTGAATGCAGTACATTTCCTTTCAAAGTATTTCCAGAGCATCGCCAGTGGGCACTTGGTCACTCTGGTTGGTTGTGAGACTTTGTGCGCTTGTTTGAAGGAGGAAGAGGTTCAGCATCTTTCTGCACGACTGTCTCCATGCTTGTTGGTATAAATCTATAGTAGTGATTGTTCATCTTTTTGGACCATGGAACCTTCTGAGAAGCTGATAAAATCTATAGAAAGACTTTTCTCTCTGAATACAGAAATGACACAAAAACATATGCATATAGTATGGACCTCAAATAATTCCGGACTGAAAACATTTTTAATTAGCTTTTTAAATTTCCCACCTCAAATGCATTTTAATTTTAATAAATTGGTATGTGGGTATTTTGTGTGTTGTTATAATCCACTTTTAATTTTTTTAACTTTTAATTTTAATTTTTTAAATTTTGATCGATTTTTTTGTTTTGTTTTGTTTTTGTAAATCTGGTTGCAAAACCTGAGCTTCAGACCCTTTCTTTTGAACAAATCTCCCTTGGCACACACCTCTCTATGGGAGATGTGAAGACACTTTGGCACACTGAGGCATTCCAGAAGATACCTGAGAGGGATGTGAGGGTGGGCATGTCCTTCCTCCTACCCACCCACCCACCCACTCACCCCCACTTGTTTTTGTGTTTTGGGGTTTTTTTAGTTTGAGGTTGTTGTTGTTGTTGTTAAGTGCCGTTGAGTCGGGTCCGACCCATAGCGACCCTGTACAGGGTTTCCGAGGGTGTAAATCTTTACGGGAGTAGAAAGCCTCATCTTTCTCCCGCGGAGCAGCTGGTAGTTTCGAACCGCTGACCTTAAGGTTCGCAGCCCGATGGTCTGAAAATACTCCATTTATAAAATAAGGCAGATTTATGATGTAAAAACATTAGTTCTCTGTCAAAAGTTCTATCTATTCCTCCAATTCTCTTCCATCCATGCTGTTGCCAGCTGTCAGCATCTTTAAAGAGGGAATTTTTTCTGCACAGCGACATCAACACGTGGCGGCTCTTTGGCTTTGCAGGTATGGTTTGCAGCCCTGAACATGCTGAACTAGTCCGAGTGCTTTCTGCACATGTCGGCAGATCTTGGAGAGGCAATACTGAAATTCCTCATCACAGTCGTTCCTGCCTTTGCCACAGGTCTCACAGCACCTGTTGTGTTGATTGCAGCACTTCGTCAGGGAAGGAATGCCGATGTTAAGATGAACACCCAACAATGGGGAGCCACACACATCCATTCAGTGGGGAGGGTTTATATCCATAACGTGGGTGAGGCTTAGATCATCACTGCACTTACAATGGCAGAGCCCGCCTTCACCTCCCAAGGCGTCCAAGGTGGCATTCAGGTACGTGTCTGTCTTATGCATGCCATTCCAGTCGGTGGTCTGGGCCTCTTCTTGACACTTGAGTGCAGCAGCCAGGAGGATCAGGAAGGCAAGCACATACTGTGGCCGAGGGAGCCGGGCCATCACTCTGCGCTGGGTCCCACGGAGACTTCAGAGCACCCTAGGAGGTGGTGAGAGCCGGGGGCTAGGCAGCCATCGCTGGCTCCATGCCTACACCTCCTTCCCGGCTGGCCGCCCCTCCAGTTGGTATGTAGCTCTGATGCATTAACCCCCCTGCCACTGAGTCGATTCTGAATCACAGTGACCCTAGGTAGGGTTCCCAAGGCTGTACATATTTATGGGCACAGCCAGCCTCATCTTCTCCTAAGGAGAAGCTGGTGTAATGTGATCGACTGAGTCCCAATGGAGTACTGTATGATAAGCACTGGACTTCAAGGTCATTTTAAACCACAAGGTCAGCAGTTCAAGCTCACCAGCTGCCCCTTGGGAACCCTACACAGGGTCACTTTGAGTCGGAACTGACACAACAGCACTTCACAACAACAATCTTGTTGGTTGGCATAGGTGTCCAATCACCTCCATGAGTAACTTTTGCCCCCTCTGCCACGAGACCAGAATTGGATGGTGCCCACCAATACCATCACTGAACTTTTAAATCAAGGAATTTCTAGAAGAATCCTGATTAAATGTGGGCAAAGGAAGAAGAAAATTTCAAGTTATCATGAAATCCAGACTTTCTGGAGACACTGAGGTCAGATGATCCCCTGAAACTATTATCTTGAGGAAATATTTAATCCTTGAACCAAAACTATCCTCTGAAGTCATCTTTGAACTAAATAATGTTGTTTGTTGCCATCAATCTGTTCCAATTCATAGCAACCCTGTATACAGTTTCCGAGGAGTGGTTGGTGGGTTTGAACCACAGACCTTGCAGCTAACAGTCCACTGCTTATCCTATAGTCTAGCCTAATTATAAACAAAAGGCTGTGTTAAGCCAAGAATTCTTTGAAAGAATTCCCTACATGGTACCAGTGAAAATAGCAACTTGAAAGCACAGATGAGAAGCTTAAAGGGAGCAGTGAGTTTGTGTTCATAGATGGAAAAGGTTGTCAAGGAAGGTGACACGTTTCCAGGACGTAACCAAGGACACTGACTTGCGCACATGGAAATTGTTGTTGTGGTGCCTGTTCTGTTGTGAAGGGAGGGAGGGACGGGGAATTGAGGAAGGAGGAAGAGGGAAGATTAGCAGTGATTGTGCTAGTTCAGGGTTTGGGTCAACTTGACTGGGCCAGGATTCTCAGAGGTTTGCCTGTTAAGATGTTACCCTCAATGATCAGACCTGCTGCAAGCAGCGCCAATCAACTGAAGGGAAGCTTCCTCGGGGGTGTGGTCTCCTTCCAATATGTTAGACACTCAGTCAAAGCTTGCTTGCTTCTTGCTGGGTCGGGATCTTGCATTTGGCTCATCCTCGGTCCTACAGCTCTTTGGACCTGCTCTATTAGCTGCCAAACCCGCAGTTGTCAGCAGCCTGCCTTCTTACCTGCCACACCTACCTGACATCATCTGACCTGCTGATCTTGCTTGCTTCATCAGCTTTGCAGCTGTGTGAGTCAGAAGCTGCCAGCATGACATCTGACCAACAGAGTCGGGACTGCCTACCTTTACAACTGTGTGAGCTATTTCTTTCATCTAGACCTCTCTGTATATGTACATATGTAGGTGTCATGGGGTCTTGATTCTCTAGAGAACCCAGTGTACAACAGTGATAACAGGAGGAGCAGAGGGGAGCACCAAAGACAACGTTGGCTATGGTCTTCCATCTCACAGCTGAAAAGCACCTCAACATCCATGGACCTCTTGAATCACTAACAGTAGACATAAACACATCACAACAGACCCCAGGCAGCCTAAACTGGATCCTTTTGTTTTTAGCAAGTGAAAACCAATTACCCATTAGGACTCCCGGAGATTCCAAAAGCTCTACTAGCAGGCAGGCAAACTCCTGTGATTGCAGTAGCCCCAGGGGATTCACAGGAGTCTTTTGTAAATCTTGGTTGTCTTCAGTTTGTAGGCACTGAAAGGGTTCTTCCCCACTCTTCAGCTTCTCACCAAGCCTTTCCCTTACAAAGAGACGCTCAGAAACGACTTTAAAAGCGTATAATGTATCAAGTTGGTGACTTGAGACTTCTGAAGAAATCAACCCTACGCCATCTTGTTTACTGTCTACTCTTGTGTGAGATCTGAAAGTCAAGAGGGGCTTCTTGCTTGAAAAAGACACCTTCCAAAAGCTAGACCTACACTGGAGCCCAAGAGAAGGAATAGGATTGTGGGAGAAATACACAGAGTACTTTAGTCTGTTAAACGACAGGCAATGAGAAGAGAGTTGCCTACCAGTTCCTAGAGGGGAGTCCTTGATAATATCAAGGTAAACGCAGAACGGATGATGACTGAAGGTCCTAAGGTGTTCCATCTTCTCTTTATCATTATTGATTTTTGATAGCCTATCTTTTTCAGCTCCCCAAATAATTTTTAGCCCATGGCTTTCTGTTAACGGGACACCTACTCCCGTTACCTTTACAGTGTTAGCCTGTCCCCATAAGTCAAAGTTTGATGTCAGATTGGAAATCCTTATCTGTCTCCTTTTCTTATTATTGGTTGACACTAAGGCACCCTGTGGGCTCCCCAGTGCAGGTAGGTTGTTTCTGAAGATACTTGTTTCTGTACATGAACTGATAGTCTCAACTGAAGAAGGCAAGTTTTCGTCTTCTATCATGAGCTTCTCCTCTAATGATGGTTCTGGACTGTTTCCTGGACCCAACGTTCCTTTGGATGTAGATATCAACGTAACCAGGTCCCCACTGCCACGGGCACAGGTCTGTCTCCGCCATCTGTCTTTCTTCAGTCTCTGTTCACATATAAGTGTACAAGGCCCCTCAGGCCAGCTCCCTGAGTATGGTTGTCCAACAGAACCCAAGTGCAGTTCCTCATCAGATAAAGGGATTGAGAAAAAGGCCCAGTCATTGGTTTGAGTTTTACGTCCTCCGAGTTCCTCTGTTAGAACTTGATGTGAGGTTTTGTGTTCCAGCTGATGGTACAGGAGACTTTTACCTCCCGTCTCTTTCTTCCGCATAAATGAACTCGGGCCTCCAACAACCCCGCCCTGGACATCTAACGCCACAGCACGCATGTGTTCACCATGTTTGCTTTCCTTCAGACCCGAGCGATCATCGCAGGTTACACATGGAAGGTTGTGAGCTTGAAGATTAACTGGACTTCCGTTTGGAATTGATGACAAACTTAGAAGCAAGTTACCACCTTCTCTAGGAGGGCAGTTCTTTGGTGTATTGTACAACTCAGCGACAGATGTAACCTTCGGAAAATTTTCTTCTGGATATAGGTTTTTACATCTTTTATCTTTAGAGCTCTCCACATGTTCAGTGAAGGTGGGTGTTGGCTCTCTTCGGGTCTCGTCTAAGTCGCCCCCCTCTCTCAGAGTTGGCTCAGGAGCTCCTGAGCTAAGACAGCTGAAAGACTCATACATGTTCCTTTCTAGGATTTCACTACAGCGAGTCTGTGTTTTGTTTCTTTTTCTGTTTCTCTTCTGCTTGGGTTTTCTCAGCCCAGGCTGAATTTCCTTCAAGTCTCTTTCCCTAGAACATACAAGAAAGAAGGACTTTTACAACATGTTTGGTACACAAGCATACATAACAGCATATTCAGTGTAACATTTTAAGAATCATTAGCACAAGGCAGTCTAACATGCACATGTACAAGGGGGCTTTACAAAGTTCCTGGAATAAGGAATGAAAAGAGAATGTAATTATTCCATGAAATATTTGAAGGCCTCTCGTACTTTTACAGTATATTTTAAAGTTACTTTTTTAAAAAGAGGTATTTTAATGTCGCGAATTTAAAAGGAGTATACTTCGAGAGAAGTCCTGGGGTGGCGCTGTGGGTTAATGCGCCAGACTGCAAAGCTGTTTGAATTGCAAGGTCGGTGGTTCAAGCTCACCAGCCACTCCTCGGAAACCCTATACAGGGTCGCCATAGGTCAGAACTGACTCGACAGCACTTCACAACAACAACATACTTTGAGAAGCACAGTGGCTCCAGGATATCCACTGGACTGTGAACCACAAGGTTAGCAGTTCAAGCCTACCAGTTGCTCTGCAGGATAAGGATGAGGTTTTCTGCACCCACAAAGATTTATAGCCTCAAAAACCCTATACAGAGTCGTTATGAGTTGGAACCAACTCGATAGCACTGAACAATGAACACTTTCAGGAAATTAAAACCATTTCATAAACTCATTTCATAAACCAGTAATTTGATTAAATGAGTTTGCTTAAAGACACAATAATTTTGTTTACCAAAAAACCCCCAACAACAGTGGTTTAAAAAAAACAAATAATTTCTTGAAAGAAATGAGTCCCATATTCTATTTTATTATGCAGCTGTTAGCCTCCCAGTAAACATCTGTAGCATCTTGTACCCCGAAAGATGACTACTACAGCCTCAGAGCGTGTACCGGACTGCCGAGGGTGGTGAGATTTCCTCTCAATGTAAAGACATTTAATACTGAGTGATGCATTAAATTACAAACAGAGGCTGAAGAGTAATAGAGCCCAGTGTCTGTGAGCTGTGTTTCCGCAGGACCAGTGAGGACCTTCATCACTCACTGAAGGACAAGGCGTCGCCTCCCACGTCTCCATTTCATGTCACCAGCCATTTCTGTGGTACCTCCTCTCTGACCTGAGCAACCCAGAGGCAGGTCAGACTTCTTCCCTGGTCACCTGGGGCCATTGGGAAGCAGTCATAGGCATAGGGGATCTGTACAATTCCCTAAACTTCTCTGTCTGTACTCCCCTGGGACTAGGTCACAAAATACAAGGACTCCACCCTTGTTTACAGACCACCAGCCAGAGGTAGGTCTTCATAGCCCTCTTCCGTCCACTAGTCAGACAAAGCATTCACCTCTCCAGTTAGGAATCTGTCCTTAGGCGTGAGCAGCCTTCTCCTGGATTAGCCACCCCGATCCAAGTCAGTGTCATTGCCCTTGTGGGTCTGCTAACTCTGTACAATGACTCACAAAACTCACGGAGACGATTACAACCAGTCACGTGTCAGTTTGTCGTACTGTGGGGGCGTGTGTGTTGCTGGGAGGCTGGAAGCTAGGCCACTGGTGTTTCAAATACCAGCAGGGTCACCCATGAACAGGTTCCAGCTGCGCTTCCAGACTAGGGCAGACTAGGGAGAAAGAGAGGCGGACCGCTTCGGAACGGTTAGTCACCAAAGCTTTATGAACGGCAGTCAGACATTGTCAGTACGGCGCCGGAAGATGAGCCCCAACCTGCTACGGGGGAAGAAGAGCTTCCTCCTCAATGTGGAGTTGACTCTGGTGATGTGGATGGAGCCAAGCTTTTGGAACCATTTGCTGCCGTGGCACAACGCAAAATGAGAAGAAACACTTGGAAATATCCGTTAATAATCAGAACATGGAATGTGAGAAGCATGAATCTAGGAAAATTGGAAAACGAACTACAGATTGCTGTCCTAGACACCGAGGTGCTTGGTTTTGTGCCATGGAGTCGGTTCTGATTCATAGCAACCCTGTACGGGGTTTCCAAGGCTGTGTATCTTTTCAGGAGCAGAAAGCCTCATCTTTCTCCCGTGGAGCAGCTGGTAGATTTGAACTGCTGACCTTGCAGTTAGCAGCTCAGCTCATAATCCACGACACTACCCGAGTTCCTATCCTAGCCATTAGTGAGCTGAAATGGACTGTCAATGGCCATTTCAAATGACACAAGTATATGGTCTACTATGTCGGGAAAGAAAAATTAAAGGCTAGAATTCATTCATCATTAAACAGAACATTTCAAAATCCATCCTGAAGAACAATGCTGTCTGTAAGAGGATAATATTAATACAGCTGCCTCAATAAGAAGACAAAGAATCCAATTAAAAATGGCCAGAGGATAGGCACAGGCAACAAACATGGAGAAACGCTCACAACCACTAACTATTGTTGTTAGGTGCCATCAAGTCGCTTCTGACAATAGTGATCTGATGCACAACATTAAGATCCTGCGTCATTCTCACGGTCACGGTCACTGCTACGCCCGAGCCCACTGCTACTGCCACTGCGCCAATCCATCTTGTTGGGGGTCTTCCTCTTTTTTGCTGACCCTCTACTTTACCAAGCATGATAATAATATGTCTCAAATATGAGAGACGAAGCCTGGCCATCCTGGCTTCTAAAGAGCACTCTGGCTGTACATCTTCCAACACAGATGTGTTTGTTCTTCTGACAGTTCATGATACTTTTAATATTCTCCTCCCAAACCATAACTCAAATGCACAAATTCTTCTACGGTCTTTCTTATTCATTGTCTAACTTTTACATACCAATGAGGTTATAGGAAATACCATGGCTTGGGTCAGGCACACCTTACTCCTCAAACTGACATCTTTGCTCTTGAATCCTTTAAAGAGGTCTGTGCAACAGATCTGCCTACTGCAATATCTCATTTGATTTCTTGACTCCTGCTTCTATGAGTGTTGATTGTGGATCCAAGCAAAATGAAGCCTTTGACAACTTCAATCTTTTCTCCATTTACATGGATGTTGTTTATTGGTCCAGTGGTGAGGACTTTTGTTTTCTTTACATTGAGGTGCAGCCCATACTGAAGGCTGCAGTCTTTGATCTTCATCAGTATTTTAAGTCCTCTTGGTTTTCAGCAAGCAAGGTTGTATCATCTGCATATCTCAGGTTGTTAATGAGTCTTCCTCCAATCCTGATGCCACATTTATAATCCAGCTTCTCGGATTATTTGCTCAATGTACAGATTGAATGTTAAGTGCCGTTGAGTCAGTTCCGACCCATAGCGATCCTGTATAGGGTTTCCAAGGAGTGGTTGGTGAGCTTGAACCACTAACCTTGAGGTTCAAACTGGCTTTATTAACTCACAGCGCCACACCAGGACTCCAACAGATTAAGTAAGTATGGTGAAAGAATACAATCCTGGAACACACCTTTCCTAATTTTATACCATTCAGTGTCCCCTTGTTCTGTTTGAACGACTTGAATGACTTGGTCTATGTACAGATTCCTCATGAGCACATGTGTTCAGGAATGCCCTTTCTCTGTCATGTTGTCCACAGCTTGTCATGATCCACACAGCAGAAAGTGTCTTTGCATAGTCGATAAAGCACAGGTAAGCATCTTTCTGGTATTCTCTGCTTTCAGTCAAGATCCATCTGATGTCAGCAATGAATCCAACTTGAACCTCTGGCAGCTCCCTGTCAATATACTGTTGCAGCTGTTTTTGACTTATCTTTAGCAAACTTTTACTTGCATGTGATAATAATGATATTGTCCAATATTTTCTGAATTCCGTTGGATCATATCTCTCTGGGATGGATACAAATATAGATATCTTCCAATCAGCTGGCCAGGTAGCTGTCTGCCAAATTTCTCAGCATTGATGAACGAGTACCTCCCATGCTGCATCATTGTTGAAAGATTTCAATTTTTATCCCATCAATTCTCAGAGCCTTGTTCTTTGCCAGTGCCTTGGACTTCTTCCTTCAGTACCATTCATTGGCTCTTGGATATATGCTACCTCTTGCAATGGTTGAACATCGTCCATTTATTTTTGGTACAGTGACTCTGTATTCCTTCCATCTTCTTTTGATGATTTCTGTATCATTCAGTATTTTGCTCATGTTGTTGTTAAGTGCCATCGAGTTGCTTATGATCCCATAGCGACCCTGCATAGGATTTCCAAGGAGCCACTGATGAACTACTGACCTTGTGGTTCAAACCAACATTGCAGTTCAGTGCATTAACCCACAGCGCCACACCAGGACTCCATTTAGAATCCTTGAATATTGTAAGCTGAGGCTTGCATTTGTCATTCAGTTGCCTCATTTTGAGAAATGCTGAGCGTGTTCTTCCCTTTTGGTTTTCTAGCTCCAAAATGAAATGTCTTTGCACATTTCATATATAATGTTTGACTTTGTCTTCTCAAGCTGACATTTGAAATTTTCTGTTCAGCTCTTTTACCTCCTCATTTCCTCTATTTGCTTTAGCATCTCTATGCTGGAGAGCAAGTGTCAGAATTTTTTCTGACATCCATTTTGGCCTTTTCCTTCTTAATAATCTTTTGCTTTCTTCTTGTATGATGTTCTTGATGTCACTCCACAATTCCTCCAGTCATTGGATCAAATTTTTTCTTGAGATGATCTCTAAATTCAAGTGGGATATGTTCAAGGCCCTATTTTGGCTCTTGTGTGGGCTCTTAGTGGTATGCAGCTGACCATGTGTCCCTGGAAAACAATTCAACTTCTCTAGGTGTCAGTTGTCTTTGTGAGGTGTGCTTGCTGTGAATATTAATGGTATTGTTTGATAGTTTACACATTCTGTTGGATCACCTTTCTTTGTAATGAACACAAATATGGACCTTGTCCAGTTGGTTGGCCAGATAACTGTCTTCCAAATTCTTGGTATAGACAGATGAGCATTTAGAGTGCTGCTTCCAT